TTCAAATGCCATTTAAACCAATTCAAAATGCATCTCTTCCCCTTAAATTGTCTTTATCTTCTCATCCTTGCCCACTGACTCCCTAGTGCTTTCTTAGCACCAGTCAGCTGGACTGAGTACATACAGGGTAACTTCACTAAGTACTATATTAGGGGAAAAGCAAAACAAATAGGAAACAGACTCCCCCAGGCTCAAGAAGCATACACTTGAGTTGAGAAGTTAAAACGTGCACCTAAAATGGTCAAAGTACATATCTACTGAATAATGGTATAATATCCAAATCAACAAGTATGGATTCTCATTGAATTTTGAAAGTGAAAACTGCTTATATTGAGATGTTAACTTATATAAAATATGATTCATGATCAAGATATTTCATCTTTTCTGTTTTCTCTTTGGCTAGAATGCTCTTCATCATTTTCATCTCATGAAATGCTACCTCTCATTTAAGGTCAAATTCAGAGTCCTGATTCCACGAGGCCTAAGTTTACCCCATCTTGGCTTGTATGCTGCCATGGAGACCACGGCCCATCTAGCTCTTCTCCCTAGAATTTCAAGAGACATACTTCTTTCTGTACTTCGCCTACCATTTTGCTAATGATGCTTTGGGGACTGAATGTAAGGGATTTAAAATATGTGGTCATAATTACCCGCATTCATGTGATTCCTCCAAGGCTTCGTGTCCCTGCAATTACCTCTTGCTTCAGCTCCCACTGCATTTCTTAAGCTGATTCCTATCAACTCAAAATCAGCATGTCCTGGCTAAATTCATTTTTTCTTTGGGCTCTGTCTACCTTCCTTACTTTAAATCCTCAGTTTACCTTGTCTTTTGAACTTTCACGCCTCCAATGCCGAGTTAGTCTCTTTTTTTTCACATGTATACAGTCAGACATATCAGAAAAGGGATTAAACCTTAGGTCCTCCAGAATCCGTCCTATCTGGTCTGGGCTCTAGAACATTCCATGCTCTGAATCTGTTTGTACTACCTCAGTTAATTTCTTAAAATTGCATTGAACTGTTTCCCGGAGGCATAAATCAATGAAGCCTTGTTTTCCCCTGCAAAATGGCTCTCTTTTCTGTCCCTGCCTATCCTTCAGCTCCCCCACCCCGCATCATGTGCTCTCCTTATCTGCTCCTACCTGAGTTTCAGCAAAGCCCACAAGTATTGTGCCTCCGGCACCATGCATTTTCTCAGCGCTAGTCTTCAAAAAATGCTCGCCTTCCTCGCCTCTGTGTCATCAGGTCTTTTGAGTTTGGGGTTGTTGCTTTTCTCTATCAAAAACCTTCTCAGATCTTCCATTTCACATGGGTGTCTCTGTTCTCTGGGAGAGAGTATTGAAGACAGGGTGGGGAAGCAAACTCTGGAGCTAGACAAATCTGGGTTCGACTTCCTGGCCAGTCATTTCCTAACTGTACATCTTGAATTTCTCTGAGCCTCCAACTCCTAAACCTATAAAATGGGATAAATATTTTTTTGAAAGATTTATTATATTTTACACCAGACACGATCGCTCAATTAACTAATCCTCTTCCACGTAAGCGCAGGGATCCCATATGAGCAGCAGTTCATATCCCAGCTGCTCTACTTCCCATCTAGCTCCTTGCTTGTGGCCTGGGAAAGCAGTGGAGGACGGCCCAAAGCCTTGGGATCCTGCACCTGTGTGGGAGACCCAGAAGCTCGGCTCTGGCTGTTGTAGCCATTTAGGAAGCAAACCAGCAAATGGAAGATCTTTGTCTCTGTAAATCTGCCTTTCAAATAAAAATAAATACATCTTTAAAAAATGAAAAAGAAGACAATTTGAAAAAAACCAATTTATATTCAAATGTCATAGTAACAGAGAGGAGAGACAGAGAGGGGGGGAGGGATCTTCCATTCCTTTGAAGAGTGAATCAATATAGGATGCCAGCATTGCAAGTAGCAGTTTTACTTGCTGCACCACAGCCCGTTGGAGTAGCTTCAACAGCCCCCAGCTCCTAAGCTTCCGGACTCCCCTCACCCTCGTTAGGCCACGTTTGTCGTCTTTATCACTGCATCCCGAGTAGCTAATGTAATGGCTGGTACATCGGACAGAAGCAATAACAGTTTGTTTTATGCTTATCCTGTTTTTCAGGACTAGTTCCCATTTCCTGTAAGAAGGGACAGATGAGTAGCTATGCTTCTTCAGTTGCAGTGACTGAATATCTAATATCTACTCAGCTGCTGAAGACATAACCCATATTTACATGAGCAAACAGAATGCCATAATCATACTGCTTCTTTAAAAATCAACATATTACTACTAACAGAATAATTCTCTGTGTTAATCACACATAACGTGATGCTTAAAAAAAAAAGATTTATTTCTTTTTATTGGAAAGGCAGATCAGATTTACAAAGAGAAGGAAAGACAGAAAGAGCTTCCCTCCGCTGGTTCACTCCCTAAATAATCACAATGACCAGAGCTGAATTTTGATCCAAACCCAGCAGCCTCCTCCGGGTCTTCCACACAGGTGCAGGGTCCCAAGGCTGCACCCAGGGTCCCAGGGTCCACTAGGCTACTGTGCCGGGTCCTATATCACCTTTTTAAAAAAAGATTATTTATTTGAAAGCCAGAGTTGCAGAAAGATAAATAGATAAGAAGGGGGTGGGGGCCCAGTACAGTGGCCTAGTGGCTAAAGTCCTTGCCTTGAATGTGCCTGGATCTTATATGGGTGCCGGTTCTAGTCCTGGCTGCTCTGCTTCCCATCCAACTCCCTGCTTGTGGCCTGAGAAAGCAGTTGAGGACAGCCCAAAGCCTTAGGATCCTGCACCCACGTGGGAGACCCAGAGGAGGCTCCTGGCTTTGGATCAGCTCAGCTCTGCCCATTACAGTCACTTGGGGAGTGAATCATCAGATGGAATATCTTCTTTTCTGCCCTCCTTTCTTTATACATCTGACCTTGCATTAAAAATAAATCTAAAAAAAAAAATAAAAACAAAAACGAACTGAGAGAGAGGATCTTCCATCTGTTGGTTTGCTCCGCTGATAGCTGTCATGGCCAGTGCTGGGCCAAACTGGAGCCAGGAGCATCCTCCAGGACTCTGATCTGGATGTAGGGGCCTTAGGTTATTCCTTGCTTCTTTTCCCAGGTCATTAGCAGGGAATTGGCTCTGAAGTGGAGCAGCCGGGACATGAACCTGTGCCCGTATGGGATGCTCATGTTCTAGTTGGTGTCTTTGCCCACTAGGCCACAATGCGAGTCCCTCATATATCACTTTATTAAAGTGGTCCATAGCATTTGTCACTACCTGAATTTGTCTGTGTTCACTAACTATGTGAGTTCCATTTCTCCTGAGTCCTCTTCTACTCATGGCCATATCCTCGGTGCCCGCAGCAGAGTCCAGTGCACCGGAGCAGTTGCTTTGCTGAACAATTCACTTACATTGACTTGCTGCAGGCCCTTGAGAGAACAAATTGGGCAGCTACATTTGTGAAGTTTTTCTGATCATCTAGGAGGCCATAGCAAAATGTGAAAAATGGAATTAAAAGTTTGAGGGTTTTTGGTGCATAATTTGAAAAATCTTGAAAAAACTGGAAAAATCTGCATCATGAAGCAATTACGTGTGGATTTCAATGGGTTTTGCACCAAAATAAGCTCAAGTTTCTTTCTGTTTAAAACATTTTTTGATTGCATGCTTTACATTTACATTATAGTTAAAAATGCTCCACTAAGTAAAATAGTTTGAAAAGTAAAAAGACAACAGTTTAGCAGGAATCCAAGCAAGGGCTATAAATAATCGAATGAAAAGATACTCATTTTACTCAAATACAGTACATTTTAAAGTATTTGCAGATTGTTAACCTATTATACTATATCATTCTCAGGAATTTAAAACATTTTTTACTTTTCCTTGAACTTTTTGAAATACTATATGTTGGGGCAGGACTAGGGGCAGGGATTCCTTTCAAAGTATCATCAGTCTGGAACTAAACTAAGATTCAGCTGCTGGCCTCAGGAGCTCACCGTTTAGCTGGTACAATGTGGAATGTGACTTGAACCATTGGTAGTTTATAAATCATGAGTGCAGCCTATTTTTTCCATGCACAAAAAATGGTAGAGCCATAGATCAAGCTAAAAAGGCATGCAGCTGGGCCCAGTGCAGTAGCCTAGTGGCTGAAGTCTTTGCCTTGTACATGCAAGGATCTCATATGAGTGCCGGTTCTAATCCCGGCAGCCCCACTTCCCATCTAGCTCTCTGCTTGTGGCCTGGGAAAGCAGAAAAGGTGGGCCTTCAACCTAGGGATCCTGTACTCACCTGTGGGAGAAGCTCCTGGCTCCTGGCTTTGGATCAGCTCAGCTCTGGCTGTTGTGGCCACTTGGGAAGTGAATCATCAGACAGAAGATCTTCCTCTCTGTCTCTCCTCCTCTCTGTATATCTGACTTTGCAATAAAAAGAAATACATTTTTTTTAAAAAAGAAGGCATGCAGTTATGTACTTATAGTGCAAAACATAAGTAAAATGGGAATACAGACAAAGCAATTCAGTTGGGGAAGGTTATTTTTGGGGGGACTGTAAAGGGACAGAGAAACGTGCTAGACACAAGAGACCGGATACTAATATTTGCAAACCACTTAGTTCAATGCCTGACCCACAGTAAAACTTCACATGTGTTTATTAAATCGAAATGCCCAATAACCCGCTTTATTCCTTTTGATTTTATTTTCTTCTCAGAAACATTGTCTCATTATTAACAAAAGCTTTTTTTATTAACAAAATCTTTATTGTTGACATTGCCATAGACCATCCCTTCCCCAAAGTGTTCCTAAGAGAGCTACAAGAACAGCTTATTATATGACATGATTAAATACGACATAATTATTACAGAAACAGCATTTCATGAGAGCCCCAAGTGCAAGGACCACTTGGGCTCTCAACAAGGTCGCATAGGAGACAAATCCTCTGATCCGTTAGCCGACATGGTTAAGCACTGGTAGATACGACAGAGACAGCATCTTCACGACGCCCCCGAATACAGGAATCAACTTGAAGAATGACAAAAGTCCTTAAAATCATCACCAAAGGGAGATGCCTGCACGGATTGGTACCCCATGTCCAGTTGGTGAGGTGGGGCCTGGAACCACTGCTGTTCACTGAAGATACAAGACGGACATTTGTCATCAGTCTTGCTGTTGCTCTGGGCTAAGGTGGACACCTTGTAGCCTGTGTTATGGTGGACGGCTCCGCTATCTTTACCGGCTGATCTCGCAAAGGCAGGCATGGGGAGCCACGGGGAGTGCCGAGGAGCAGCACAGGTCAGTGGTATCACATACCTAGAGGATGTGCTCAGGGAAGCATAGCGTATCTCGGAGCTGTAGACAATTATGTCTTCATAGACAGCCTTGACCCTGATGCCACATTCAGTAACACGGTAGGTGAAGCTGTAGGCATATGTCTCCACATGATTGGCAGGACACCCCGTACCCAGATGTACCTCATAAAAGTGAACATACACATCATTGTTCAGCATGTAGGGGTGGACCGTGACCATGAACCATTCTGTGGAGCACAGCACAGTCACTGCATTTTCTCCTGAAGCGGGTGGAAGCACACAGGCCAGGAAGGCTATCGTGGCTACCAACTGGAAAGGAGTCATCTTGCAGCAGGTCACGGAACGGCACAGTGCAAAGAGAACTGTCTGATGAGGGGTTCTAGAGCACAAAACACACACAAGACAAGTCATCTTAATTCCTGTCAGACGGTCAAACACGACCACCCCCTGCCTTTTTTTTATGGCAAAAGGCTAACCTTCAAAGCATTAACAACAGGAAAACATTCTTGTGAGAGGGAATTGGATTTGAATCTCATCATTGAAATTCCTGTGTTTGCACATGTCTGAAATGGCTTCTTTAAGCTACTTACTATGTTGTTTTGATATAAAACACATATACTTCACATGCAAAATGAGAATTTATATGGATCAAGAGTAGTTACACCTTTGTACCAACATGTACCAAAATAGGAAATAGGAGATACTTTATTTTTTTAAAAAAAGATTTTTTTTTTCCCTTGGGGCTGGTGTGGTGGCACAGCACACTAATCCTCTACCCTGTGATGCCAATTCATGTCCTGGCTGCTCCAATTCTGCTCTCTGCTTGTGGCCTAAGAAAGTAGCAGAGGATGGCCCAACTGCTTGGGCCCCTGCACCCATGTGGGAGACCAAGAAGAAACTTTCTTATGGCTCCTGGCTTCAGGTTGACTGAGCTCTGGCCGGTGTGGTCATTTGGGCAGTGAATCAGTAGATGGAAGACCTTCTCTCTCTATCTCTCCTTCTTTCTCTCTCTGTAAAATCTGCCTTTCAAATAAGAATAAATAAATCTAAAAAAATGATCTTTTTAATTTGCACTTGATCTTAGCCAAAAGTGAGACATGATTATTGTTTCTTTACTTGAAAGTCAGAGTTACAGAATGAGAAAGAGAGATTTTCCATCAGCTGGTTCACTCCCCAGATGGCCACAATGGCAAAGGCTGCATGAGGCCGAAGCCAGCAGCCAGGAACTTCTTCCAGGTAATCTATGTGGTGCAGGGGCCTAAGCAGTTGGGTCATCCTCTCTTGCTTTCTCAGGCCATTAACAGGGAGCTGGATCAGAAGCAAAGCAGCTGAGACTCAAACTGGCGCTCAGATGAGGTGCCAGCACTGTAGGCAGAAGCTTAATTTGCTATGTGACAGCAGTGATCCCATTTATTTAATACTTAAATTTTATTTTTATTTATTTGAAAAGCAAAGAGATAGGTAAAGATAAAGGCAGGCAGGCAACGATCTTCCATCCACTCTCATTTTCCAAATGCTCAAAAATGTTAGAGGCCAGCACAGGCCAAAGCCAGGAGCTAAAAACTCCAGCCAGGTCTCCCCTTTGGGTGCCAGAGCCCCAAGTGCTTGAGCTGCTGCCTCCCAGGGTGTGCATTAGAAGGAATCAGAAGCAGAGTTAGGATTTGAACTCAGGCACTCCCAACATGGATTGTGAATGTCCCGAATGGTTATCTTTATGGCTGAGCCAAATGCCTGATTCAGGCTTAATTCAGACTTGTAACACTTCTCTCTTTAAGGGTTGCAAGATTTTGACAGATAACCTTAATGAACTCCTCTATTACTTTTTGCCTTAAAAAAAATTTACTGATTTGAAAGACAGAGTTGATGAGGCGGGGGCGGGGGGTGTCCTTCTACCTCCTGATTCACTCCCCAAATATCCACAATTGCTGCGTCGGAGCCAGGCCCCAAATCAAGTCTCCAACTCTAGCCAGGTTTCCCCCATTGGTGACAGGGACCTGGGTAGTGTGCATCTTGCGCTGTCTGCCCAGAATTATCAACAGTGAGTTATGTTGGAACTGGAGCAGCCAGATCTAACCAGCACACTGATAGGGGATGCCAGTGTTACAGGTCACAGCTGTGCCATAGTGCCCTCGATCATTGTCTTTTTCTGTTTTCAACATTTTTAGATATTTTTTGGTAACTTATTTTTTCACATACTTATTACATGGGAAGAAGGGAGAGAAGGAGAGAGAGTGGATTTGTCACTGTTGGCTCACTCTCCATATGTCTGCAGCAGCTCAAGCTGGCCCACGTGGGAGCTGAGCTGGGACGGCAATCCACCTGCCCCTTCTGCAGGTGTGCTAGGGACTCACCCACTTGAGCTGTCCCTGGCTGTATCCCAACATCTGCATGATCAGGGAGCTGGAATCTGGAGGTGGGACTTGAACCCGGGTACTCTGACATGTGACACCAGAAGTTTAACTGCTAGGCCGAATTCTATCCATTAGCAACATTTTCAATTAATTAAACATCTAAAAAGAAATAGTGACGTGTTCTTGACAGTCAAATATTGATATTTTGCTGAGTGGCTCACTTAAAATGGTGAAATGGATGATTTATGTACAACAGCAGAAATAGCATAAATTATTGAGCAATTGATTCTTTGATATAGTCACTTGGGATATCTTGTAAAACAGTGAAATTGCAGATTCATAAAAAAATATGTTTTTGAAATTTTACCATTTACCTTTTTTGGGGAAAAAGTTATTTAGTTGAGAGGCAGACAGAGAGTCCTCCCATTTGCTGCCTCATTCCCTCAATGTCCATGGATAATAACCTGGACTGATCTCAGGTAAAAGTCAGGCACAGGGAACAAGATGCAGGTCTCCCACTTGGATGGTGAGGACTCCATAACCAATCTACGGTTACCTCCAGCGGTGTGCCCTGGCAGGAAGGAGCCTGGGCCAGGACTCAAACCAAGGCTATGGAATGCAGCTGTCCTAAGCGCTTGGCTAAATGCCCATCCCTAATTGTATATTTTCAAAGCATATTACGCATTTAAAAGTCCTCTGTTAAGGACTTTACACACTGATTAACAAGATAGCTCCCCAAATCATTGCTTGACGTTTTTTCCTTTGTTTTTACTAGTTTATTTATTTTTTTCCCTTTTTTAATAGGAAGCTGTCTGACCACTTCCTAGAACTATTGCTTTTTACTAGCGGGGAGAAAAAAATGCAATGCTAAAAATAAGTGTCTCAAACAGGAAATCAGAAGCCATCATCTGCTGCCTTCCATGGTCTGCATTACAGAAAGTAGAAGCCAGAACTGCAGTGGGGACCTGAACCCAGGTACTCTCACAAATAAAGAAAGAAGGAAGAAATGAACAAATTTAGAGAAGGATCGAAAGAACTCTAAAAGAAAAAAGGAAAGAATCAAATGTTCAACTTGGCTTTCATTTTTTTTTTTTTTTTAGAAAAAAGCTTTATTTTTATTGATAAGCGAGATTTACAGAGAGAGAGGAAGATCTTTTGTCCGTGGACTCACTCCCCAAGTGGCAGTAATGGACAGAGTTGTGCTGATCCAAAGCCAGGATCCAGGAACTTCTTCCGGGTATCCCACACAGGTGCAGGGTCCCAAGGCTTTGGCTGTCCTCCACTGCTTTCCAGGCCACAAGCAGGGAGATGGATGGGAAGTGGAACAGCTGGAATGTGAACTGGTCCCCGGGCACATGCAAAGTGAGGACTTGAGCCACCAGACAAACATGCAGGCCTTTCATGAGATAAGGTCAGCTCTGACCATTGCAGCCACTTGAGGAGTGAACCAATGGGTGGAAGATCTTTCTCTGTTTCGCCTTCTCTCTGTAAATCTGTCTTTGCAAGGAAAATAAATAAGTCTTAAGAAGAAAGTGAAAATGACATGTATAAGGGGAAAATTGCCTAAAATTTGGAAGGGAATGAACTTGCATAAGTGTAGAGATTCACTTTTGTTTCCCACTGAGATATGTAACCCCTACATAAATGAGTTCATTCTTTGGCTAGTATTTTTGACAGCTTAGCATATGCATAACATGAAGCTAAAGAGCATCCAAACACGAATCACTCCCTCTGCCCCTTCCCAAGTGCAAAAATACAGTTCTATCGATGTCTTTGATAATGGTGAATTAGCTGCGTTCTTTGACAGGAACCAAGGCATGGTGGGCCTCTACTAACGTGTGCTTGTCTGGAGGAAATGCTTTGTTTCTGGGTAGTACAGATGGCTCGCACCCTTTCCTTCCTGAATTCTCATTCTTTCGGGGATGCTGGGGGATAGAGACACCTAAAGTGGCTGCCAGGCTCCTTCCTCTACTCTGTTCATTCTAAAATGTCTCTCTTAGGAACACTTTCTTGTTCTTCACTCAGCAAATTTAGAAGCACCAGCAACACACCAACAGACCAAACCAACGTTGTTGTCTACCAACATCCCCCACACCAAAGTAAAACAACAACAGCAACAAGTAAATCAACAAGTGATCATCAACTCTTCCCGGGTGGTTCAACAAGTAAGTTCTGGAACAAACTACTTGCTCCCAGATAATGCATATTTTCTGAGGGTCTTTCTGGAAGTTGAGCTAACTGTCCCACCATTCCTTCGCTACTATTTCAGTCTCAAGAACAGCTTGTCCCTAACATGTTTTCCTCCTCCTCCTTCCTCTTTGTCCTCTTCTCTCCATCTTTCCTTAACATACCCTCATAGCTTGGGCCAATTCCCCCTGAACAAAAACAAACCAAAAAAAAAAAAAAAACCCTCCTCTTTAAGTTGTTCCTGAAGCAATCCCTCCACTGCAGTTTTCTTGTTCAAACTGCAAAATTGAGACCCAAATTTAAGGCTGTTCTTGTCCAGGCAGTTAAACTATCCACCTCCTCTCCCTCCCTCAGACACTTGGCTGTTCTCCCTCTCTTTCCTCCCTGGTGGATAATCGAAACAAACAGCCTAGCTTCTCTGAGAAACAGGACAGAGGCCCTCCACCCCCACCCCTACCCTTCACCACACCCAGCGAGAAACCATTTTAGATGACCTCAGCCCCTTAAGCACTTCTTAAATTACATGGCACAGAATCCATTTTAAAGGAAGGGGTTCAGTAACCTCATGGAGCAGGGGAGTTGATTTAGAATAACTCTCCAAACCTGGGCAGGTCAGAATCTGCTCCCCCTGCTTTTCTGAAAGCCAGGAGCAGATTGCTAAGTGGAGAGGGCGGTAAGGGCTATTGTTCTTGCATGTAATACCTTCGAGCTCAGCTACAGCTTCAAGAAGAAAGTCAGCGGAGACCCTCGTTCAAGGTCGTGTGCCTGTAAAGTGAGAGGGAAGAG